AAAAGATAAAAGAATAATGCCACGGTGCGGGTGGAAGCCAGATGGGATAAAATGTGGCTGAGCAAGCGCAAGATAATGGCTATTAATCCAAGGGAAGAAGAAAAAAGGAGCCACAATTTACATTTTACTGCTTTTTTACTAAAGAGACAATTTTCTTAACCAACAACTCTGGAGAAGTTGACAGATTTAAAGTTTTTTGGAAATATAAATGAAAGCACAGTTATGGCAATGTTGATTATTAATAAGAAAGAGCTGCAGTGTCAGATATTAAAACATTGTATGACTTATCGATATTTAAAATAATATAACACTGGAACCAGAATTTTTTTCCAGTTGCTTTCTAGTCAATTCTAGTTCATGGTGATCCTATGTGTGTCAGAATAGAACTATACTCCATAGGGTTTTCAGTGGCTGATTTTTCTGGAAGTAAATTGCCAGTCTCTCTTCAAAGGTGCCTCTGGGTGGACTTGACCCCCAACTTTTCGGTTAGCAGCTAAGTGTGTTAACCATTTTTACAACCTAGAGACTCCAGAACCAGAATAGCTATACATAAAGCACATACAATATCAAATCAGTTAGAAAAAAATTATTCAGTTTATGGTGGTAAAATAATCATCTAGCCATATGAAAAGAAGATTAGATCAATACATGTCACTGCAAATTACAAAATAAATTCCAGTGTGATGAAGGTGCAAATTTTACACATAAAATAATCAAAAAAGCAGACGAGTAAAACTTTTATAATTTTGGGTGAGGGAAAGACTTTTCTAGGAGGAACACCAAAAGCCAAAACAATGAAGACAGTTTTTACTACATAAAAATAACTTAATGCTTCTTTATACAAATAATATACACAATAAAGAAACCTAAAAAGCAAAAATACAAATAGAAAATATTTATACTTTATGTAACTGGTTACTATTCTTCTTATAATGAATTCTGACAGATAATAGATGATTAAAGACTATTATCCATTAAAATTGGTGAAGGACATGAGTGAACTTTAAAGGAATAAAGAAATGGGGATGAATAGGAGACATAGAAATGCTCACTAAAGAATTGCACAACTGAACATTTGGATAGGAAATTTCACCTATTAGGTAATAAGATCAAAAGGACCAGCATTTGATATTGATAGCATGAGAAGAAATGGGGACTTTTGCATACTTCCAGTCTGAGCCATGGATTATAGACATTCTCAGGGGAAATTTACCAGTATTTGCTAAAAGCTTGTACGTTTTCTCCTAAAAATTCACCCTAAGAAAATAACCAGAACAATTTAAAAAGATACATAGGATTTATTTATAATAAAAGATAATTAAACATAATTTAAATACTTAATAATAGGCTAGTTACTCCTTGGAAGAAAGGTTGGGCAATCTACTTCCGTAGAGATACTGCCTCAGAAACTCAAGGAGAGGTTGCTATGAGTCAGATCCCACTCTACAGTAGATAGTTTTGAGTTTTGAGAATAGCCTCATTACAAAATTGAAATTTGATGTAAACATTCAAAACTTACTACATTATCAGTGCTGTTCAACTTGTGCTTCACTGACCCCAGAAGGCTTTTCATGTTTGTGAACATGTGCATGTGCGTGTGTGTGTGTGTGTGTACAAATGTCTCTGGGCAGATCTGGAAGCTCTGGCAGCTACCCAGCTTCAACCTGAGCTATCTGAATTCCCTATACATTTCTGTACTAGGCTCAACATAAAATTGTATTTGAAGAAAGGATCCTATTGACCATGTAGATTTCTTAACATGGAAAAATGGTCATAACATTTGTTTCAGAGAAAAAATTAGGTTACACAGCAGCATGCTTACTATGATCACATTTTTTATATGTAATCTAGATATTATATATGGATGCATATCAAAACTTTCAACTAGTTATTTCTAGGTGATAGAACTATGCTTTTTTTTTTTTTTTTCTCCGCTTTTCTATTCTTTGTTCTTTTGTGATTATTTGTATTTCCTCTGGTAGCGTAGTGCCTAAGGCACTTGACTGCTAACCAGAAAGCTGGCAGTTCAAACCCACCAGCCACTCCTTGGAAGGAAGGTCAGGCAATCTACTTCCATAGTGATACCACCTCGGAAACCTAAGGAGGGGTCACTATGAGTTGGGTCTGACTTAACATAACACATAACATAGCACATAACAACAACAACCACAACAACAATTATTTCTGTGGTCACTATGTGTTTCTCAGTGTTTAAAAGATGTGTATGTGTTGCATAGAAACCCAAACCAACCAATCCACTGCCATCAAGTCAATTCCAACTCATAACGATCCTATAGGACAGAATAGAACTGCCCCTGTAGGGTTTATGATCTTTACAGAAGTAGACTGCCTTATCTTTCTCGCATATGGCAGCTAGTAGGTTCAAACTCCTGACTGACCTCTTGGTTAGCAACTGAGTATCTTAACCACTGAGACACCAGAGTTCTGTGTTGCACAGGAAGGGGAAGGAAAAGGTAGAGAATTACAGCATTTGGATACCTGGTGCCACTCTGACAGGAATAGACCACACAAGGAATACTTGAACAAACAAGAGTTTATTCTCTTACAATTTTGGAAGCTTTAAGTCCAAGTTAAATGTGCCATGCTCTAGGGTCTGGGTGAAAGCCCCGCAACCTTGGCTTCAGCTCTGTCTCCAGCTCCTGGCCCACTGAAGCTGGAAGCTTTTCTTCACTCAGATAGTTGCTGGTTTCTGAGGCTGACAAATCCACAGTTGACAAGTAAAAAGGGACAGTCCCCAATTTAACCAAACAACATGGCAGGCCACTAATTTAAGTCCAGGTGAAGTCCCAAGATCGGCAGGGCAAGGCAGGCTGTTGAACAATGACTTGGCTACATGCAGGGTTCAAGTGTCCCAAAAGGCTAGAGACCAATGTCAAAGCTTCTCCTTACATACAGGAGCAGACCACATCCCTAAAGCAGCTACTCAGCCACTCATGGCAGATTCCATCATGGAGCTGATTGTCAGTCTCATCATGGGGAATAACTACCTCTAGCTGCCCAGCCATTCAACCAGGCCCAACCAAGTTGACAACAACCTTAACTACTACATAGAACATTGCTATACACAGTGTTTTGTAGCAAATGAAAGATTCACAGGCTAGTAATGGATATAGCCACTATGGAGAACACAGTAAACAGTCCACCAAATATTCTAACCTGCATTTCATCTGTTCAGTCCCTGAGCTCTCACTCTTCATGGCAGATGGGCTCAGTCATCTGGAAGGCCAGCAGTCTTCCTGCCACTGCGTGTTCGCAGGCTGCACATCTCATCCCTATTGACCATCCTCCAATGCTTGGCTGCCTAGGAGCCAGCAGGATTTCCCAGTATTACCAACACTACTATGAGAAGAGCAACTCCATGCATGTATCCTGATGAGACTTTGTTGTTGTTGTTGTTATGTGCCATTGAGTCGGCCCCGACTCATAGCGACCCCTCCTTGGGTTTCCGAGGCAGTATCACTACGGAAGTAGGATTGCCCAACCTTCCTTCCGAGGAGTGGCTGGTGGGTTTGAACCGCCAGCCTTCTGGTTAGCAGTCAAGTGCTTTAGCCACTATGCTACCCTTGGTTGAGTTTATTCTAAAGCCTAGTTTCTTGCTTCTTTTAATCCAATTATTTCCATGTCCATCCCACTCAAAAGTGAATGCATTTTTCCTCACCAAGTGGAATCAGAATGAGGTCCAGGACTCACAGATCACCCCAAAAGTCCAAGCTCTGGGACTTACACAAAAGTAGCTCAAATGGGTGGTGAAGCCATTAATATGCTCAACTGCTAACTGAAAGGGTGGAAGTTCAAGTTCACCCAGACAAACCTCAGAAAAAGTCCTGATGATCCACTTATAAAAAAGTCAACCACTGACAACTCTATGGAGTACATTTCTACTCTGACACACATGGGGTTGCCAAGAATTGGAATGGACTCTATTGCAACTCGTTTTGTTTTGTTTTGTTTAATCAGTGGAAGAACAAGGCTATGCAAGCAATTACTAATGTTGTCAAGGTCTATAGAAACCCACCAAGCTTTATCCTTGTCATCAAGAAGAAAACCCCTCCAGTCACATCACTTACTATCTTAATCCTATCCTGCTTGGTACTTCTTTACTGACCCAAACTCCCACTTCTCTCCTTTAAGCCAGAGCTTGGTTTGAACTCTGGTTTCCAGAACCAAATTCAGTGTTCTTTCTATGTTCCACAGTTCCTTCCCTGTTCCTACAGAGAAAAGAAGGTAAGCTTGATCCACTTGTTTTGTTGAGACTTCTTAACATTTGGCAACAACCTTCAAATACTGCTCCAGTGTGTTGTAGCACTAGGTGCAATTAGAGAGAGCCAGATGGACCATAGTCCTTGTCTCTGCTTGTGCAGAGTCTTTGAGGTCAGAGAGGCTGAGCACATGTTGGTTGATACAACTTAGCATTTGCACAGCAGACCTATCAAATATGTGTGGTATAAACTGAGCTCCCTAACACTAGAGGACTGGATGCATCAACACGTCAAGAGTTAGGTGGGTAAACTAGGGAAGTGGAAGGGAAGTAGAAATTGGAGAGCAGCGGTCTCATGCCAGGCAGCATGCTTAGCTTCCATAAAAGCATTCTCTTTTTAATCCTTACCCCAGTCCTCTATTGTTGTTGTTATGTGCTGTCAAGTTGGATCCGACTCATAGAGACCCCTCCTTGGGTTTCTGAGGCACTATCACTATGGAAGGAGATTGTCCCATCTTCCTTCCGAGGAGTGGCTGGTGGGTTTGAACCACCAGCCTTCTGGTTAGCAGTCAAGTGCCTTAGCCACTATGCTACCAGAGCCCTCACAGTCCTCTATAGCAGGTACTATTATCTCCTTTATACACATGAGGAACTGATGCTCTGAGAGGCACTGAGAGGCCCAAGGTGACTCATGTGGTGTTCCTTGTCCAAACTAGACTCCAGGTGTGCTCCTCAAAGATGTTTCTAGAAGTCCAAGCATCCCTCTCTTTTCTTTGAGCAGAGAAGCAAGCCAAGGTCCTCATCGTGATTGCCTGGAGCCTCTCTTTCCTGTTCTCCATTCCCACCTTGATCATATTTGGGAAAAGGAAACTCCCCAACGGAGAAGTGCAGTGCTGGGCCCTGTGGCCTGATGACTCCTACTGGACTCCATACATGACCATCGTGGCCTTCCTAGTGTACTTCATCCCTCTGGCCATCATCAGGTAAGATGCTATGGCACATAGGAGCTTCCCAACTGACACTCTCTCCCACCACAGGTCACTCATTGGTCCTAGTGTCCCTGAAGAACTAGTCAGGCCACATGATTTTCTCTAAAGTGATGACAGATTAAGAAGTCCCATTCCTCCAAAGCAGAGTAAAGAAGAGGGAATTAATATTTTCCAAGTTTGTGTTATAGAGCAGGCCACTATTACCCCATTAAACACATGACAACTCTATCTTAAATATCTATTGTTCCTATTTTAGAAATGATAAAATTCAAGCTCAGAGAAGTTAAGTAACTTACCCAACATCATGCAAAATTTAAACCCAAGTTTATTTGCTTTTCATATCCTGTTATTCCTCTTCTATAATGCAGTCTTTCATAAGGCATAGTACCAGTTTCAGGCATCTTATTCCTGGAAAGATAAATATTCTTGAAATAAACCACATAGTATACAATAACGTGCTATATAGGGTTTTGTGCACTGAAAGTAGTGTTGTTGTTATGTGCCATCGAGTAGGCCCCAACTCATAGTGACCCCTCCTTGGGTTTCTGAGACGGTGTCACTATAGAACTAGATTGCCCAACCTTCCTTCTGAGGAGTGGCTGGTGGGTTTGAACTGCCAGCCTTCTGGTTAGCAGTCAAGTGCCTTAGGCACTACACTACCAGAGTACCATGAGGGCATTTATATTAGTTTCGCAGTGTTGAAATAACAAAACGCCACAAATTGGGCAGCTTATAAGAACAGAAATGTCTCATGGGAATCTGAAATTAAGGTATTGGCCATGTTGAATTCTCCTGAGACTTTAAGGGAAAATCTATTTCATTCCTCTCTCCCAGCTTCTGATAGCTCCAGGAATTCCTTGGCTTGTAGCTGCAACATCATATGGCATCTTCCCTGTTTATCTCTCTGTTTTTCTCCTTTTTTAAAAGCTATCACTCAGATGAGATTAGGACCCACTCTACTCAGCTCTGGTGGCACTGTGATTGAGGCACTGGGCTGCTAACTAAAAGGTCAGTGGTTTGAATCCACCAGCCACTCTGTAGGACAAAGATGAGGCAATCTGCTTCTGTAAAGATTTACAGCCTTGAAAACCCTATGGGGGTCACTATGACTCAGAATCAACTTGATGGCAGTGGGATTGGGTTTTGGGTTCTACTGAGCATGACCTAAAGTTAACTTAACTGATAACATCTTCAAAACCACCATTTTCAAACAAGGTCAAGTTTGCAGGTACCAGGAATTAGGATTTCAACATAATTTGGCGGGGAGGGGTAGGGCACAGTTCAATCCACAACAACAAGTTATGGCAGGGATCACTACTTAGGAGCCACAACTGAAATAGGGGAGGATTAGGAAAGGCTGAGATGTGAACTCACTGATGGCAGGAGGCCAGGAGTGTGGGGGCCATGATTGCACAGGCAAGCAGTTGACACTGAAAGTAAAGTCAATAACCTTCTTCTAATGGCTGGGGTAAGGATCAATTGCGAAGGGCCTTGGTAACCAAGCCATAGAATGTTTCCTGTATCCTGCAGCCAATGATCTTTCAGAAGAGAGGACCACAACCTAGTCAAAGCAAGGTCTCATTTTGTCAAGTGACAGGCTCACCTTCTGAAATGGTGGCTCTATGTGTATGGATGAGCAGGAAATTCCAGGGACTGACCTGTGTGTATGTGGGCCATGCTGATCTTACATCTATTGAATGCCTTCAAGCCCACCATAGTGTATCACATAATACATTCTGGGTGAAGAAGGTTAACAGTTATTTTTTGATAGTACAAATAATACTATGGATTATTTACACTTACACTTAATTTTATTGTACTTTATTAAAGTACTTAATTATATTGTACTTGAAATTGTATAGGCAGGCAGTACCAGTGGGAGAAAAGTCAGCAATAAGCTTTTAATGGCTGGAGGTTCAAGACTCATTTGAGTGGAATTTCTGGATCAAAGATGATGCTAATTTTAACACTTTTGAGGTATATTAACAAACTGACCTCTAAAAAGATGTACTCTAGCCAAAAAGCATCACAAAAGCTCTGTTTCTCCTCACCCATTCCAATGGAATTCTCTTTATTAAATCTTTGCCAACCTAATGGGTTGAAAAATATCTTCTTTTAACATACATTTCTTTGGTTATTAAGATGATTGAGCATTTTTCAAGTGTTTTCTGACATTATGGAAATCACCCATTCTTGCTCTTTATTCATCTTTAATCTCACAAAATATTTAAACTTGGAGAAATGTTATCCATCACATAGTCCAACCCCTGAAATTTTCACCAGAGTAAACCTGGGGCTAGCAGAAGCTAATGACTTGCTCCCTATCAAAGGTAGAGCTGAGTGAGAATAGGTTGTCCCTGACAGCCAGCCCGATAACCTTTCGGTAATTCACTCTTGTCCAGTCATCTCTGCTAATGTAATATCTACATTTTATGTCACCTTTCCAACCTCTTCTCCATCAAGTAGAATATGGAAGGAAGCTTGAAGGAAAGATGAAGTTTATTTAGATAGTCAGTCAAAGATAAGTCATAGCAACATGGAAGAGTGAAAGGCTAGAGGCAGCAGTGGAAAGCAGTTGGTAGGAAGTGGTTCATGCCATCACAGGCAAGTGACAAGCATTGATTTCTTCTGCAGCTCGTGTGTTTGTTTCACTCCTGATTGATTTTCCATCAGTTCAAGTGGAATCAGCCACATGTAAAGCCCTTGTTCAGCAGGGTGGCATGGTGTATGTACCACATGGCTCACAGAGTACTGTGTTTGGGCAAATCTGTCACCACAGATATTTTACTGTCTGAAATTTTCCCTAATTTAGGCTAAATCTTCCCACCAGGGCCTCTCCTCAACCCTGCCTACACCCAACTTGTGTATTTTGCTTTAGAAAAGGCAAAATAGAAATTGGGGGTTAAAAGGGATGATGCAAAAAAGTGGGTCTCACTCAGCTTTTGTTATTAGTTGCCATTGAGTTAATTCTGAATGATGGTGACTCCATGTGTACAGAGTACAGCTGCTCCATAGAGTTTTCAAGGCTATGACTTTTCTGAAATAGATCATCAGGTCTGTCTCCTGAGGCATCTCTGGGTGTGTTCATACCACCAACCATTCAGGTAGTAGGCCAGCTGCTTAACCATTTGAGCCACCCAGGGGTTCCCTTATCAAACTGAGTCCCCCTTACTCCCACCCTTACTGCTCCCACCATCATCCCTACCCTTTGCTCCCCATTGTCAGCTGTGAGGTAGCCTTGAAGGCTCAGTTCTGCTTCTCTCTGGCTTTGTCTTTAAGCTTCACTGAATCATTTCCTAACTGGCAGTATGGCCGCTCATCAGTCATTGTCTTCACTCTTCTGTAATCTGTGAGTGTGGCTCTTCCCAACGAGGAAAGGCTTACTCTCTAGGGGACATGGGATCCTTCACTTATCTTTCAGTTTCTCCGTTCTTGAAACAGAATTTTGGGAGGAACTTGTTTTTCAACTAACTCCTGGTAAAAGTTGTTATAATTTCCTATCTCTCAGTTCTAAGGTTCAGCTTTTTTTTTTTTTTCTTTCTTTCCCTCTTCCTTACGCAGTTTGGCACCATAGGCTGGATCTATCCCTTTTGCCTTTCTTAGATCAGAGTAAACTCTTAACTCCAAGCCTCGCTAGACCAAAGACACAGTGCTACAGAGACTTTTCTGCCCATACATCAAATACATGGTCATCTGCTTTGCTTATTTTTACACACACACATATATGTATATATATGTATACCTACATACATGTGTGTATATATATATATATATATATGCATATGTATATATGTATATGTGTTTGACAACACCACCCTGTTGTTGAGTCGGATCCAATTCATAGCTACCCCTCCTTGGGTTTCCGAGGCTGTATCACTATGGAAGTAGATTGCCCAACCTTCCTTCCAAGTGGCTGGTGGGTTTGAACTGCCAGCCTTCTGGTTAGCAGTCAAATGTTGCCTATATGTGTGTATATGTGTGTGTGTGTGTGTGTGTATATTATGTGTGTATGTATACATGTATTTACATATATATATAAATATGTATATATATATGCATGTATGTGTGTGTGTGTGTGTGTGTATCCCTGCAATCTCCTTCCATAGAGATACTGCCTCAAAAACCCAAGCAGGGGTGGCTATGAGTCGAATTGACTCAAGGACAGTGAGTTTTGGTTTTTTTGGTTTATATATATATTCCTGGATGATGCAAATACTTAAGTGTACAGCTACTAACTGAGAAGCTGACAGTTTAAATCCACCCAGAGATTCCTTGGAAGAAAGACCTGGTGATCTACTTCCAAAAGATCACAGCCAATAAGCAAAGTAAGCACAGGCTTACTTGTGCTTACTTACTAATTTGTAGTGAACAATTTCAAATTTTCTCTCCACATCAAAGATTCTTCTCCAAGGTATGGCTGGTATCTGTCTCTCTCTCTCTCCCCATCTCACAGCACCTTCCTTCAGAATCAAAGCCTCTTCAAATTTATAATGCCTTACAGGGATGGAGTAGCCAGCAAGCAAGAGAGGCATAGCCTTGGTTGTATATATTTACTAATCTGCAGTAAAGAGAAACTCTTCACTATAGATTAGTTAAGTAAGCACAAGTAAGCCCGGGCTTACTGCACTTATTAGGTCATCCAGATCTATTGAAAATGCTATGGAGCAGTTCTTCTCTGACACAGATGGGGTTGCCATGAGTCATAATTGACTTGACACCAACTGGATATATATATACACAAACATACAGGTATCTTTACCAATTTCATAGATGAGAATAAAGTGTATCATTGCTTGTTTAAACTTGCATTTTTTCATTTTTATATTATTACCATTTTGTTCATTGAATTCTTTTACCCATTTTTCTGTTTAAATGTCTTTGTGTCCTCTTAACTATTTGTCTTTAGAGAAACTCTTTATGTAATAAGGGTACTAAACTTTTCTTTTTTATATATGTTGCAAATATTTCCCTGTTTTGTCATTTGCCTTTCATGC